AATATTATAGACATAGAAGGTGTTCTTATGAAATGTGGAAATCCAAACATATAGTCAAACATGCACATAGACAAAACAAAAATCCATATTCCAGAAAGTCTAGACAAGCTGGAAATGTGGTTTGGGGGACAGTAAGGAAAGCATGAAACGCTATTTGTAAGTTCCCCAAATTGCACCCCTCCGGACACCAATTATACAAATACAGGATGTTGTATACTTGACAAAGGGAACTTACATTATGGGATGCAGGGAGGATGGACACACCCCCACGGGAGGTACATTTGTTAGGGAACTATGAGAGAATAGGGTGTGATTAGTACAATTCAAACTCCTGATGGACAATCATGCTCCATGCCCCCGCAAGGAGAAAATTATAATCACTTCCTCGTCTTTAAGCTTTACGAAAGGCCTGGGTGAAAATGAAACCCATAATTCTCCTGGACATCAAAGCACACACCAGATTTTCCAGAGGAGAAAGTGACAAACTTGGCTGACACTGGATCTAGTCCTTGATGTTTACAGCTCAACACAGACATCAGGCCCAGTATCAGAAATCAATGATAAGACAAAGCTCTGAGCAGCCTGTGGCGCCGCAGGATAGCCACAGGGACATGCCACAAACCACAGAAAATGACTAAACATCCCCCTCTTTTGACCAACAAGAGAGGCTCCTGTTCCTTCATTAATGACAACTACTCTCACCTTGATCTTCCTAACACTGACATAAATTACAAAGATGCCCAATTCCCGGCCTGTCCTACTTCACAAAACCCTCCCTCTGATCACCCAGCACAAGCCCAAACCCCATAAAAACCCCCTCTCGATCGCCTCTTACCAAGACACTCACAGTTCCTGTGGTGTGCAGTCTTCCTTGCTGCAGCAAATGAGCCTTATTTGCTTGGCAATAGGTTTGTTTGTGGGGCTACTTGGCTGCTGGGCTTCCACGGAGGATGACCCTGGCAATAACCTGCCCCAGCATCCGACCCCGGGTCCACTTTACGGCTTCAGAACGATACTTCTTCATCAACAGAAAGGGTAAGTTAGTTCATGAAAACAAGAACTAGAAAGTACTGTCCAAGAGTGACCACGGCTACCAGCCAGCTAATTGCATGAATCCCTAAATCTTCCTATGGCCACTACCTAACCCCTCTGAACACTGGTCCCAGCCTTGGAGGCGGGGAGCTTTGGAGGCTGCCCCTATCAGGGGTATGGCCTCCTTCCTTCCTTCAATTTCCACTAGTGCACAAAAAGAAACAAAACATTCAGCATAACCTAACAAATGCCATTGCGGATAGAAACATAGTTTCCAATTTTAAGAACAATCATTTGTGACTTGAGAAAAACAAGCTGTTATAAAGAATCTTCTGATATATAGAGATCTAAAACTAAAATTTCACCCTTAAAGGCCAAGTGCAGTTAAAATCAAGACACTAAATAAAAACTACAATGATAACACATTTTTGAGCACTTACTGTGTGCCTGGATTTGTGCTATTTTACATACATACATTATTTCATAGCATCTGTGCAGCAACTGTTTCTGAACTAATATTCCCATTTTACATATGAGGAAACAGAGGTTCAAAGAAGATAACTAATTACCTTAGGTCACAGAGCTACTGGTGGCAGAACCAAGTTTTCAAATGAAATGTCCATAATTCCAAACTCCAAGGTTACCAGATAGATTTTCTCTTGAGTGTGAAAATGAAATACTGGATTTGAAGCAATTACAAGATTTGATTACAATAAAAGCAGTTAAAAATTTAAAATTGTAGAGCTCTATTTAAAGTGTCCTATAGTATCAGGATTTCATTTTGCCCTATCAAGTGTATTTTTATTATCCCATTTATAGCCAAAAGCTCCCAAGAAAAAGTTGTCTTCCATAAACTACTCTCTGTACCAATGAGTATCCATATTTTTAAAACTAGTTGGTATATAAATTATCTGAATGTAGTCTTGGCCTTTTTTTATAAGCCTCTCCTTTCTGAATTATCTTCCTTTAAAAAAAGGAAATAATACATGTGTGAACAATGCACATGTGAATAGAATTTCAATGGGAAAGCATTATCCCTCCTCCCCAATAAATAACATAAATGTAAAAGGACCTTTAAAAGACATTCTAGCTTAATGGTTCTTTTCTGAATAAAATAAACAAGAGCAAAGGGCACCTTGACAACTACTTAGGAAATAAAATCAGAACACATGGAAATCTGTGATTCTAATCACATTTACACCTTCTCTCCTTTTTTACATTTCTCATCCAAACATCCTTAGGAGCTCAATAGGCTTAAAAGAAATGGAGCAGGGGCAAGAACAAAGGTGAGGGGAATCTGAGCGAGAGCTTCAATGGCCCTCCTCGCCATTTTAGTAATTTCAAACTGGGTAAAATAGTTCCAGAAGATGTAAAAGTCACAAATGTGAGAAGAAACGGTAAAAAGTTACTCCACCAGCTTACATTATTTTTTTTGTTAAAGCATTGTGGTTAGAGATCTCAGAAATTAACCTTTTGTGAACAAGAAATTCAAAACAGCACAAAGAAAAAACTTTTGAGGAAAACAAAAAGCAAATTTAAATGTATTTGCTTTTTCAATGAAGGCCGATGTGCTAAATAAATAATTTGTTACAGAGAATATTAATATTTGTGTTCTTACGTGGAAATGACTACTCATACATTAACTATGAAACTGAGGCTAACTCTTGAGACTGAGGATACTTTTAGAAAATAAGATAGCCAACGACTATACCTAACTAAGCTACACGTTGGAGAACATATACGATATGAAAATAAAAAAAAGCATCTACGGAACATGTGGTACGTGTGGTTTACTCAATTTGGGAATGACTTTTTGTTTTTGTTTTTTCTTTTAAGTGGGAAGAAGAGAAAGATTGATGTTAAAAGAGGCAGTTCAGCATTTAATTTAATTACTCAAATAAACAATAACCAATAATACAGAGACGAGAAAAATAGAGAATTATATCAAATTCCTGTGTGAGTGTCTTTTCCTGGGCAATTCTAATCCAGAGTAACACTTGCCTGCACTTCACACAAGTATCTGAGGAAGTTTGCACTTCACCCCACCAGCAGCGCTGACGCCCCAGGATGCTCCCGGCCCAATCCCGTTAGCAGGTGCAACTCCAGGTGTTCCATCCCCTTAAGCCACACATCAATGAAGGTACTAGCAATGGGGAAACATCCAGAATGTCTTAGAAAAAGAAGGTGTTTGCCCTCTGGACTCTGTGTGTGTATGTGTGTGTGATGTGTAACAAACCCAAATAACTACAACCAATTCCTTCGCTGCAGGGTAGAGCTTCAGCTTCTCCTTCCCTGCCGGTACAATGCTATGACACTCTGTCAAGGTCCTCTTCAAATGAGGGGAAACATGCTCAAGGCTCTAGACACGAAACACCTTCTGGTCCATGTGTTGCATCCAGCAAGTAACAGAAAGACTGAGACATGAAACATGGGTGAAATCAAGGCCTTCCTGGGGAGTTGTCAACATTCACCAAGTATATCAGCCAAACTTGTGGTTTATGGGAAGCCAAATCTAATAATGCAGGTGAGGACTTCACAGCTCAATGGCCTCAACACGTCCTCCTCCCCAACAAACCCTGCTGTGTGAGGTTTTATCGGCTACTGAGAAGTGAGGTTGGTTTTTAATGACAAGAATGTGCTTAAATAAGAAAACAGGCTTAATGAGGGTACAATTTCTTGAGGACAGAAGAATTGCCCTAAACTGAGAATTTCAACTCTGTGGTTTTGGATAGTACCGAGAAAGCACCTAATACAGAACAGGTATTCAAGCAAATATGTATGTTTGTTTAAAAGACTGGTCACATAAACTAAAATGTATTCAGAGTTCCCAAATGCTTTGATTTTCCTTGTCGTATGACTCCAGAACCAGCAAAGCAAGCAAGCAAAGTAGCTACTCCACAGTGCTAAGAGCAAGTCTCCCTACACTAAAAACTCAGGCAAAGAAGGGATTTTAGACCCAAACATCTTCCACAAATTCTTTGTTAACCAATACGCTCCCGCTACTCGGCTGTGTTGGCTTCATAGTCAGGGCACATTTCCCCAGTTAAGATCTCAGCTCCAGACACCTGCTATTGCGTTTGACAATTAAGACCTATTCTTCCAGACCTAATGAAAACTGGAGATTCCACCAGCAGAAGGAAATTTGCGGGTCAGGGGTGGGCAGCAGAGGGTAATGGTGCACGCAAAGGGCTCTTACAGGAAGCAGAATCTACACTAACCCCTCTCATTGTATTATCTCCCCTTTAACCTTCGGTGCACCTCATCCCTATTAAGTGGCTCCCCAATACATTCAGTTTGGTCGCCTATTGCCAACACGCCTTTCGGGAGTTGAAACTATCAGGTGATTGCGAGACACACACCGGTCAGTTCGGTTCCGGAAAGGAGGTTTTGGTGCCAGGACGCGGAGAAGCGGTTAACGGTCACGCCAAAGTGAGTGGGTGGACCGGGTCCGATTGCTAATTACCAAGGAGACCGGCTGCCCTTGTCAGTGCCTCACTCTCCAGCAAAGAAGTGTAACGCAGGTTTGTGTTTCCAGTATCAAACCAACCCAACTCCTTCCACCGCGCGAGAAAGCAGCAAACGGGGTCCACGGGCGCAGCATTGGTGAAATACCCACCAGGCACAGACGCGCGGTCAGGCCGCGCGGCCCCAGCTGTGTGTTTTACTGGCCTGTTCCCGCACATTAGCGAGACTAAGGGTGACCAGGGGGGAAGCAAACGCCCAGAGCTCGAATTAGCTGCTGACTATTCCCATAGTCAGGGAGACACCGGACCTGCGCTGAGCTCCAGCTTTTACACCGAGCTTCCGCTTGAGGACTCCTCGGGATTCACCTTGCGCGGCCGAAGAGCCTGAAAGGTCATCTTCCCAAAAAGGGCCAACCCGGAGGGTAGGGAGCGCAGTGGCGGCGCTCAGGATGCTCCGGCCCCGCACCCGGGCGCACTGCCCTGAGCCGGCCAGCAGTGCCTTACCTGGCCTCGGCGAATCCGGCAGCCCCTTGGCCGCTCCCACGAGGCGCCACTGGAAAAGTTTCCGAACTTCTTCGCAGCTCTGCACGCCTTCGCTTCGGGTAAATCCAACGAGAGCCAGAAGGAGAAGACAGCAACAGCCCACGCGCCTCGTCGTTCCGTCCATCACCGGTGTGTCCTGGTCACCCCTTTCCCTGCCGTGAACCCCACGCTCCCCGCGCGCCCTGCGCTGCGGGAGCTAGAAAATGTTTAGAAGTCAAGGCTCCCTAGGGGTGCCGTCGGGCGGTGGGCGTTCCAGGGCCGCTCTGGGACACCGGCTGCACCTGCGAGCACTTAGCTCTTTCCCCAGGCGCCCGAGGCTGAGACACCGGAGTTCGCGGGCAGAGCGCCGCCGGGTCTCCCTCTCCAACCGGGGCGAGCTGGAGCTGATCGGGAGAGGAATACGGCTGGAGCCGCACGGAGCCCGCAAGCCTCCGGATCTGGCCACCGCTGCTGTCGCCACCCGCTGGGCTTGAAGCGGCCAACCTGGGACGCGCCCGCCCGTAGCGCTCGGCAGGCAAGCCCCGCCCCCTGCTGGGCCACGCCCCCACGCCACGCCCCCCGCGCTGCCCGGGGCGCACCCGCCCCGCTGCTCTAACGCCGGGACCCACGCAGGAGAGGCTGGAGAGCGACGCTGCCTGGAGCAAAGAAACAAATGGAACCCAAACCGGGTCCTCGCTCTGCCAGCCAATCGCAGGGACAGTCTGATAAAAAAGAAAGAGCAAACGAATGAAGAGGCTCAGAGAAAACAAACGATGAGAAACACCAACTAGAACGAAGATGAAATATATCCCTGTAGATCTAGGTCCTTAATATATAGGATTTTGTATTCAAATTACATGAAATGGGATCTGAGCACAATATAAAAGGGAAAAAATTGTTTATAGTTAAATATCCCAATTGAGAGGCTTAACAGCAGCTATCAGGTTTTAAGAGTGTATGTGAGAAGTTACTTTTTAAAATTGCTTATGTAACCGCTTTGAAACATTTGTCCAAAACACTGCGATTTTCTGAAAGTATTTAGAAGTCATAAAAATTACATTCAAACCTTATCACGTTCTTATTACCACAGTAAAGCCCACTTTATTCTCTTATCACCCTTTAGCATCACCCTTTACTTCAGAGCTCTGTATCTTTAAGGACCCAATTCCGGAATTTCTGTAACACATTTGTCAACCGCTAAGGTAAGAGTGCTCAGGGGAGCTTCTCCCAAGGAAAGTAGAAAAAATAAAGACTTTAAGTGATTTTTAAATGACAAAGAAATTTTGTCAATCTACAATTTACAAAACAACTGCATGAGAAACCATAGAGCAAAGGGTTGGGTGCATTTTTTTAACCCTTTTTCTTTTTGATTGAGGTAACTGGTTAATTACATAAATATTTCAGGCGGACAACATTATAATTTGATATCTGTATACACGATGGCTTGCTTACTACCACAAGCCCAGTTTGCCTCCTTAACCATTCACGTGCTCACCTTGGCGCATTGCGCCCTCCCTTCACCCCACATCCCCTCTGGTAACCACCAACCTGTTATCTATATTTATGACTTTTTATTTTGTTCATTTATTTTCTTCTGTTGTTATTTTATATTCCACAGATGAGAGAAGTCATGTGGTTTTAGTGCTCTTCCCTCTGGCTTATTTCGCTTCACATAATACCCTCAAGGTCCATCCACGTTTTCACAAATGATAACTTTTACCTTTTTTATGGCTGGGTAGTATTCCATTGTGTGTGTGTGTGTGTGTATGTGTGTGTGTGTACCCCATCTTCTTTATCCATCATCAGTGGACACTTAGGTTGAATCCGTATCGTGGCTATTGTAAATAATGATGCACTGAATACAGGGATACATACATATTTTCGAATTGATGTTTCCAGATTCTTTGGATGAATACCCAGAAGGGGAATTGCTGGATCATACGCATTTGCTAAATGTGATTGCCTCCATACTAAGCCTGTGAGTGACAAGAGTGTCTCTTTATCTACTGACACCTGAAGACAGAAGGCCCCCAGTAAAACAAAACTACTTAAAAGCATTGGGCAGATGAGGACTATAAATGTCTTAACTACTTAAAGGGAATTTAATCTCAAATCTGAACCCTTGCCAAGAGATAAAGAGGAATAATTTTAAGTCTTGGTTAAGTGTCACGGGACTTTGAATGACCATTCGATGACAGAGGCAGTATTTTCGGCAGTGGATCGCTGGCTTTAAAACCATTCCAGGCTAATGGTTGAGATACGTCTGTGAAACTGCTCACTTGGCTTTTGACATCAATTCCATGAATACTGGATTTATTTTTTTGAGAAGCTCTCTTACTGAGTGAAAATTGAAAAAATTAGCTGTTTTTAAATTGAAGTAAAGCCTTATGTATGTACCCTGAGCGCAGGATCGGGGGAATTTCCCCATGAATTTCTTCTCCAGCCACCAGGCATGGAAAGACTGCTTGGAAGCCAGCTGTACTACCAGAAGGAAAGAGGACCATGAGGGTGTGCATAGTGCTTAGGTACTAGACAGTATTCTAAGTGTTTCTTGCGGATACTAATTCAGTCCTTTACTCTTGATAACAATCCTGCATAGTAGTTACTATTACCATTGATTTATAGATGAGGAAACAGGCACCAGAGAGATGAAGTGACTGCCCGAGGCCAGCAAAGCTGTTAGGTAGTGGCACCAGGAATCAAACTCAGGTACCAGAACCCAGAACTTGTGCTGTTAACCATGGGCTCTCTGCAGTTACCCTGAGCCATACTAACGAACCTATTGAGTTACATGCACCAAACTAACACCAAAGTTTACACCAAAGTTTTGGTGTAAAGTAACACCAAAGGCTGTTTATTAACTCACCAGGTTTCTCACTAGTAAATATAAATAATTTTGTCTATAGAATTTTCTTCTACTAGAATCCTGTCTATGTTAATATAAGGCCAATAAATCCCCAGATTTTTCCAAAACTTTTTTTCTTACTGAGATCTTTTTTTCAATCTTCACCTGAGGACATAATTATTGATTTTAGAGAGAGAGGAAGGAAAAGAGACAGGGAGGGAGGGAGAGAGAGAGAGAAAGAAACAACCATAGATTGTCTCTTATGAATTGGGGATGGGGATCAAACCCACAACCTTTTGGTGTATGGCACCACGCTCCAACCAACTGAGTCACTCAGCCACGGCTTATGTTCTCTTTTTAATAGATTCGATCACCCTAAAGTATTAGCATTAAAAGAATTCTTAGAAATGACCTGGTCCAATGTATTCACTTAGAATCTCTAAAACAATTTGTCCTATAAGGGTGAAATCGCAAAAACAACAGAGAATTACTGATGGCTTAGTAAAAACAAAACAACTGACAAATACTGATTGCAGATCTACTATATTTTTATAAGCTCACTACGTTAGGCATCATAAGGATTACAGAAACATGTAAGCAATTTCTCTTCTCAGTGTTTTTGCAATTTATTTCAACAGAACAATTAGGTGGGAAGTTGTATAGAGAAATGGAGTAGGGTCTAATGAGAAAATAAATGTATTTTGTCCATATAAAATGTCCATGATTACAAAAAATAAATATTTTTTTCTACTTCTCATTGCCTACCACTACCACAGTGGATGAGCCAACAGTGGCTTGGAAGGGCTCCTGTTCCTATCAGCGTCCCTCTAACAGCCACCCAAATGGACAGGACTATGCTGTGAGGCTCCAAGACAAGTCTCCTTCCAACCAGAATACAATACCAAAGCGCCTTTTAGATGAGCATTCTAGAACAACCTCCAGACACAGTGCTATAACTAATCTTTTGTTCAATTTACCTGTAAATAGTACAGATGAAACTTGGTAGGAATTTTCATAATTTGATAGTGATGATACCTCATTTTTCAAAGGTCATTCAGTAAACATTTATTGAATGCCTTTTATGTAACAAACGTTGTGTTTTTGCTTTTGAAATATCAATACCCTTATATAGGAAAAATCTCTAAATGGCCATTATTTAAAATACACCTTGGTAATCTAAATACAATGCTTCTAAATAATTGTCTACAGTGTGACAACTTGTAAAGAGATATAAAGAACCACCAGAGTGGTTTAGGTAATATTAATGATATCATGTTGCCCTTAACCATGACTACAGCTTTAGGCTAAGACTGGACACCAGTTAGATCACCTTCAGAAGCTGGTCGTGGTAACTGCTGTACCCAAATAATAATAATAACTAATATTTATCAAGTGGTTACAGGTATTACCTCATCTACCATTTCAATCACGCATGAAACAGTTATTATTATACTACTAATGAGGAGTCAGGCTTATAGAGATTTAAAATAATTTTCCAAAAGCCACAAAATGGATAACTGCCCCATTTTTAGCCAAGTTTCCGCACTCCTTTAGCCACTACACTCCCCTGCCTCTGACAAACCAAACACCTGTTTGGTTGCCCCTTGATTCAAACTTCCTTCTATAGTAGAAGCCCTGCTCCTCACTGCTATTCCTTGTGGCCAGCCAGCTGGACCTCATCTGGAGACCTGCATGGCTTGAACCCTGGCCCAACAGCAACATCGTCTCCCTTAGCAGCCGGCCAAGGTACCACTTGCTCCTCCACCCTCCCCCAACTAATTTTTTAATCATGAGAACCTATTTGTAAAGACTAAAATTCAGTGTACTACCTTGACGTCTTCAAGCTTCATGGGGGCCCCAAAGCCTACCTTTGGGTTCTGTTCTTGCCTGGTACGCATACCCCCTCCCCATCGAGCAGGAAGTGCTCCCTCCCTAGCTAATCCTCTACCAGCCAGAGAAGCTCCATTCCCCTTTATCTTCAGCCTAACCAGTTTCCCCTCCTACCAGCCTGTGAAATTATCAGACAAGTCAATTACACCCTTCCCTGGGAACCAAGGGCCACCTAACCCTCTTGTCACTAGAAAGCCTGCCTTCCACAGCTCTTTCTGGTTCATTTTGCTCCCACGTGTGACCCCGGTGTGGCCCTGCGTGACATGTGGTTTCCTCCTCCATTGAGCTGCGAGCATATGTAACTAATAAACTGCTGTGAATCTCTTCCCTCCAGTGCCATGTGTTTGGCCATCTCATGTTAATTAGGGAGGGCGGCAGTCTCTCCTTCATCAGTGGGGTGAGTAGGCAGT